TACACTTCCTCTTCCAAGTCACCATTCAAGAAGGCATTCTTGATGTCCAATTGGTGAAGTTYYCARYCAAGATTTGYTGCCAATGAAAGAAGGATCCTGATAGAGTTCATCTTGGCTACTGGAGCAAAAGTCTCTGCATAGTCCACATCCTGATAGATAAAGCTTCTGCCACATTCTTAGTAACGGGGACACTGTCCACAGAAGAGATGAATGCATAGAATGAAGGTGAAACGTGATCATAGGACACAAAATTAGAGATAKGATGATTAGTGGTACAAGATCTAACACCCTTTCTCTTAGCAATAGGAATATCAAGATCATTGATGACAGGTGAATCACCATTGAGAGGAACAGGCATATCAGTAGGAGCAAGTGTACCTGGCTGATGAGACGGATCTGCCTCTGGTGAATCCGATGATGTTGGTTGCATAGTGTCAGGTTCCACGGCTCTTGAACTTTGTTGGCTTTTATGGCGATGATGAAAAACCCGGAATGGAAGAGGATCGGGTAAAGGAGGTAGTTGAGTTTGAGCCGCCTGTTTCTCCTCAACCCTACTCTCCCCCTGAAGAGAAACCGAGAAGAAAGGTTGATTCTCAAAGAATGATACATCAATGGAGACATAGTACTTGCGAGAGGTAGGATCATAGCAACGATACCCCTTTTGAGATAAAGGGTAACCAAGGAAAACACAAGGAATGGCCCGAGGATCAAGCTTACCTCGAGTAGGGGACAAGTTATGGACAAAGCAACGACACCCAGAAACACGCATCGGAATGGTAGACAACGGAGTTGTAGGAAACAGAAGCTGATGTGGGGCCTTATACTCTAGTAACCGAGATGGCATACGGTTGATGATGTATGTAGCACACAAAATTGTATCCATCCAAAAACGTTTTGGCACATTCATACGAATTAATAAGCCACGAGCTACTTCGAGAAGGTGACGGTTCTTTCACTCAGCAACACCATTTTGTTGGGGTATCTTGGCACAAGAGCTTCGCTGAAGTGACCCACTCAAAGCAGAAAACTCCGTGAGATTACTATGGAAGTATTCTTCGCATTGTCCGACTGGAAGATATGGATTTCAGTTTGGAACTGAGTGAAGACCATGTGTTGAAAGTCTTTCACAAATTTTGGCACTTCATCTCGAGATCGCATAGGGTAAACCCAAGTGTATCTAGAGTAATCATCAATCAAGGTAATGAAGTACTTATATCCAACCTCAGTGGGTAGAATAACAGGGCCCCAAACATCAGAATAAACAATATGAAATGGAAATTCAGATCTTTTATTTCTCAAAGGTAAAGAACTTCTAC